TTAGGTTGTTATTCGGATATTTTCAAACTGTTTTTCAACCATTTTCAGGCCATTTTCAGGCTGTTTTTCTGCCATTTTCAGGCCATTTTCAGGTTGTTATTTCAAACTGTTTTTCAACCATTTTCAGGCCATTTTCAGGCTGTTTTTCTGCCATTTTCAGGCCATTTTCAGGTTGTTATTTCAAACTGTTTTTCAACCATTTTCAGGCTGTTTTTCTGCCATTTTCAGGCCATTTTCAGGTTGTTATTTCAAACTGTTTTTCAACCATTTTCAGGCTGTTTTTCTGCCATTTTCAGGCAGAAAATTTTTCAGGTTGTTATTTCAAACTGTTTTTCAACCATTTTCAAGCTGTTTTTCGGCCATTTTCACGCCATTTTCAAACTGTTTTTCAGCCATTTTCAAATTGTTATTCGGCCATTTTCAAACTGTTTTTCGGCCATTTTCAGGCCATTTTCAGGCTGTTTTTTGGCCATTTTCAGCCCATTTTCAGGTTGTTATTTCAAACTGTTTTTCAACCATTTTCAGGCTGTTTTTCTGCCATTTTCAGGCCATTTTCAGGTTGTTATTTCAAACTTTTTCAACCATTTTCAGGCTGTTTTTCGGGCATTTTCACATCATTTTCAAACTGTTTTTCAGCCATTTTCAGGTTGTTATTCGGCCATTTTCAAGCTGTTTTTCAGCCATTTTCAGCCCATTTTCAGGCTGTTTTTCAGCCATTTTCAGCCCATTTTCAAACTGTTTTTCAGCCATTTTCAGGCCATTTTCAAACTGTTTTTCAGGGCATTTTCAGGCTGTTTTTCGGCCATTTTCAGCCCATTTTCAGGTTGTTTTTTTGGCCATTTTCAAGCTGTTTTTCACACCATCTTCGGGCTGAAAAATGCCACCCCAAGCCTGAAAACAGCTTGAAAAACACCCAAAAAGCAGTCTTGTGCATGCCAGCCAGCTGGTCTTTGGGTTTCTGGCACCCTGGCACGCGCTCATCCATGCGGATTCTGGTTTGGGTACTCGGTGCCAAAAAGGTTCGCCATCACAGGCCTAAACCATTTCAGACGAATGGCTGTCCAAACTCCTGACCTCTCTTCTCTCTGGAAGCTCCTCAAGTAAGGGAAGACAGATATCATGTCCCCCCTCGGTCCTTCTCTTCGTCAGGCGAGGGATACCTGGTTCCCTCAGTAGTTGATCATGATGGGATTAACAGAATAGCAGAGTTGGAAGGGACCTTGGAGGTCTTCTAGTCCAACCCCCTGCCTAGGCAGGAAACCCTATACCGTTTCAGACAAATGGACATCCAACGTCCTCTTAAAGCAGTGTTTCTCAACCTTGGCAACTTGAAGATGTCCGGACTTCAACTCCCAGAATTCCCCAGCCAGCGAATGCTGGCTGGGGAATTCTGGGAGTTGAAGTCCAGACATCTTCAAGTTGCTAAGGTTGAGAAACACTGGGATAGTCACATGACTATGGGGCGTTGCAAACAAGCACAAACGCGGGCGGCTTGCCAAGCGCCAAATGCAGTCATGTGACCCCGGGAGGGTGGGAGGGAGGGACGCCATTGGGACCTCCAACGCAATTCACGAATGCCTTTTTCAAGGTCTGTTGTAACTTTCACCAGTTGCTAAGCGACCAGTTGTAAGTCAAGGACTACAAGCAACCGAGCAGTTGTACAGGGGAATGGCCTTGCAAAAGGGACGAGGACCACACCAAGGAAACAATCGATACAGGTAGTCCTCGGCTTATGGCCACAACTGAGTCTGCTGCTAAGCGAGACAGCTGCTAAGTGAATTTTGGACCATTTCACAGCCACAGTTGCTAAGCGAACCACGGCAGTTATTAAGTTAGTAAGATGGTTGTTAAAGTGAATCCGGTTTCTCCATTCACTTTGCTTGCCAGAGCGGTCACAAAACGGGATCACGTGACCCCAGGAAACGACACCGTCATAAATACGGTATTTGTATTGTAAGTCGCCCGGAGTCCTACGGGATCAGGCGGCATATAAATGTTATTAAACTTATAAACTTATAAATACGAGTCCGTTGCCAAGCATCTGTTATATTGATCGGGTGACCATGAGGATGCTGTTTCATACAACGGTGTGAAAACTGGCCGCAAGTCCCCTTTCGCGTCGTAACTTTCAATGGTCACTAAGTGAAGTGTTGCTAGTCAAGGACTACCTGTAAAAGGGGGATGAAGGAAGGAAAAGGGACCCTCCCTAGTTTCTTAAGCTGTAAAGAAGGAGAGGGAAGAAAATATCCCTTTCAGACTTGCAAGATTCAATACAATAAAAGCACAATAGCAGAGTTGGAAGGGACCTTGGAGGTCTTCTAGTCCAACCCCCTGCCTAGGAGGGAAACCCTACACCATTTCAGACAAATCCAACATCTTCTTAAAGACTTCCAGTGTTGGGACATTCACAACTTCTGGAGTCAAATTGTTTCACTGATTAATTGTTCTCACTGTCAGGAAATTCCTCCTCAGTTCTACGTTGCTTCTCTCCTTGATTAGTTTCCACCCATTGCTTCTTGTTCTACCTTCAGGTGCCTTGGAGAATAGCTTGACTCCCTCTTCTTTATGGCAGCCCCTGAGATACTGCAAGGAAGGAAGGTGGGAAGGAAGGAAAGAAGGAAGGAAGGAGAGAAGGAAGGAAGGTGGGAAGGAAGGAAGGAAGGAAGGAAGGAAGGAGAGAAGGAAGGAAGGAAGGAAGATGGGAAGGAAGGAAGCA